ATTGACATAACAAACAATTGCATCACCCAGGTAGTAATGATACCAAGGCCATGCATAAATGAAACTTTTAATAATGCGTGTCTACCCAGATCTCTGAGGTAAACAAAATAAATTATTATCAATTGTGGTTGCTCATGAATAATAAATCTGATGTTGATTGCAGGTGTCAGATTTAATTGAAATTTTCCTATCACAAACAAGTCAACAGGTGCTTTCACACGCCTCATAACCATGGAATTTTTTCCACAGGTAAGGTGAAAACATGTTGGAAGGCTTTGGACAAAGCTTTTCTTTATCTTCCCCTCAGACCAGGCTGGGTGTTACCATATGGGCATTGATCACTGATAGCTGGTGCTTGTGCGATGATTGCTTTGTGTTATCACCCCCTCTCACTAGAATAAAGTTACAAGTTCAGTTGGTCAAATAAAAATTAAAAGAAACTGAAAATTTATGAAAATGATTAATTTATATGTAACATACCAAACAAAATCTGAACCATTTTATTTTACAGCTTTCCTCCTAACATCAGAGCCCAAATGCAATTTCAGAGGGAAGATTAGTGAAAAGTGTCATTGACGATTGATGCAGCTTTGATAAACTCCAGGGCCATGTTGCCCCCCCTGGAATTCGGTTGCATCATTGTGTCATCATAGAAATCTTGGTCAGATTAGCCTTTATACACGAGGAAGACATGAGAATGACTGTAATGTGTTCAAGGTAGCGTGCGTGCTTCAACATCTGCTATTTTCTGATAATCATATTTGAATTGTTTCTTCTGCAACGGTGTGCTGCCTTGACATCTTCTTGTAATTATAATAATATTAATATTAATTACGATTATGCAAAGCAAAGTACCAATCATTCATTTGTTTATCATCTTGATAAGAATCTTATAATTACCCAGCAAGATCTGCTCCACGTTTGATTCCAATTAAAATATTTATAAACTAAAATATCAATGCAAATAAAAAATAGTAAGAAAATTACTAGATGTTGTTATTTCTATCCTTATTTTATTTAATAATTTAACAATAATTCTTTTTTCCTTTAATGAAGGATTCTACCAGTGACATCAGAGAAGCATTAAATATGCCAGACCCTAGATTAGGTAAAGACTATGATCCAGAACTTCATTTCAAATATGATCATATATGAACAACAGTATTTGACTGGTGGGTGAATTGATCATAGTGATTTTTAATCTATGAGCCTTTTCCTGTAAAGTCTCAAATTGATGAATTCTTTGTAACCAACTTTTTTGATTACATGCAGGGTCCGGGTATTAGAAATGAAACCAAATCCTTTGTGCCAAGTCATGCCAGAGAGTTGGTATAGAATCAATATATGGCGCACAATTGATATTGCATTTGCAGATATTCCTTATGTTTTTTTTATTGGGCAAGTAAAACTAAACAATTTATAACTACTTCCTACTTAATACTTAATGTTTACAATTGTCTTTTATCTGAAATGATAATGTAGAGGAGAAAAGGCATGTATTGCATCCACAGAGAGAAGAAATCGGAACAGGGGATTAAGCAACATCACAAAGATTCCAAGGCGATTAATAGGAAAGAAAGGTGATGGTTATGTAAGATCCTTTGGGTCAAAGAAAGTAGATTGGGCAGCTTCCGAGGTGGGATATGTGTGAGAGGGGGAGACAGGCACTAAAATTTTAAAAGAGGGAGGTTTTAATCTTCCAAAAACCTTGAAAGATATTTTTATAGAATTGGCAAGGAAAATTAATTGGAATCAAGAGAAGGTACACCAATTAAATGTACCTGGTTTCCTCCATTCAGGTTAGTATGTTACTGATTACTTTTTCCATGATGAGATTTGATCTAAACTATTAACATTCAATGTTTTTGCAGGTGCAGTATTAATGAAAGTGAATTTAGACTGCCCCAAAGGATATGCTTGTCGGTATGTCACACATGAAGCTTGTGAAGTGCTTGCTGATGTAAAAAATTTCAATCATACACACCCTAGACAAAAGTTTTCGGACACCTGTTTTTACTAATTGCGCAAAACTACACATAATAACTATACATAA